ACAAGATCATGCTCAAGAAACGAGGACACAACAAGCGAGACGCAGCACTCAGCGCCGCAGGAAGCAGCGGTCTCTCTATCAGAGGACTACGCGAGAAGAAGGCAGTTGTTGTGGACAACAAGCCATACGATCCGTACGGCGGCGTGCGCGTCATGCCAGAGCGCGTGGACCTTGCGCCGGAGAAACTAGCGACGTACAGCAACGAGTGGGTCGAGATCACAAGGACGAAGCCTGAGTACAAGGCTGGAGGATACAGTCCTGATGAGTATCTCACACGAGCATTGTTCGAGGCTTTTTCAGGGCTGGGAGTGTTTGTGGATGAGGAGAAGGTTGAGAAGAGTGTTGCTACGGCGGGAGCGAAAGAAGCTGCTGCGACGGGAGATACTGGGGGTATAATGGACGTCGACGATCCGTTCTAGTAGATGATTTTTCGTCGTTTAAACGGGCATAGCTATGGAGTTTGGGAGTTTGGGAAAATGCAGAGGGATATAACGGAATTGGAGTTTTGAAGATGGTAAAAATGACACGATATCATGGCTACAGAGGGCATACACCAGACACAGTGAATACAGAGAAATAATTGATGATAATTGTATTTTTATATGACTGCTACTATACTAATCCAAAAGGAAAAATCACCAGGAGAGGATTCAAGGGCATTTTCAGAAGGATACTGTATCCTCCTGTGTGCTCATCCTGTGGCCTTGCAATCCTCATTTCGAATCTCATCCCCCGAAAACGCCTCGCTTACTATATGGAAAGGGAGGCTGTTACAGCCAAGAAACGGAAACAAAAGGGCGCTGTGGAAAACGCGATGCGAATTATGTCTTGATTTGAGCTTGTAAGATAATGTGGTTCTTATTTGGAACTGCTGCTTCGATAGTCTTATTGCTGCCAGGGTGTCTGTTGAGCAGGACGAGGGAATACAGGTACTGTGGGAAGTTGGTCGAGGCCTCCTCCGATGGGCTGCTGGTTGGCTTGCCATCCCATGCCTGTGTTGTGGTTGACAAAGGCGCCGTTTCGGAAGGGATTGGTTGTACCGGTTGGTTGAGGAGCGAGAGCAGCGCCGGCTGTTTGCGGACGCTGTTCTTGGTTTGGCGCTGGCATCGTGGAGTTTCGTGCAAAGGGGTTTGTGCCGGTTGGTGTAGGTTGAAGAGCAGGTTGTTGAGGAGATGGTGATTGGAAAGGTGAGTTTGAAGCCTGGGCGAAAGGAGAAGTGTTTTGCTGTGGTGATGTTCGAGCGAATGGGTTTGTAGATTGGCGGTTTAGAGCAGGTGTAGCAGATGATGGAAGACCTGTTTGTTGGGCCATGAGCATAGACTGGCGGAAAGGGTTGGTGCTTCCAGTTTGCATCGGTTGGAGGCCCTGAGGCGATCCGTTCTGAACAGGTTGTTGGATTTGAGGGGCCGCGTTGGGAAAGCTGGCCATTGTATCCTGAGGGATTGGTGCGAGCGAGCTTGGTTGGAAGGCTTGTTGTTGAGGAGTGAAGCCTCCGAAACCAGCCCCGGTGAAGTCGGGCTGTAGTTGGATCTGAGGCTGCTGCATCTGGGGTTGCTGCGGTTGCATGAACCCGGTTTGCTGAGGCTGTTGGAATGGACTGTTGGAGGCAAACCCAGTAGGCTGGGTGGCGAAACCGTTCTGCTGAAACGGCATGCCTGTCGGCTGCTGCTGGAAAGCCTGCTGTTGAGGCTGGGGGTTCATGCTCATCGGTGTCTGATTCTGTTCGATAGAGTCAAAGAAGTCGATCAGATCAGGGTCGGGACCCTTGTTGGCTTGCGGTTTCGACTCTGGTGCCCTGTTCCCGCTCGACGAGGCCGTGATCTTGGGGAAGGGGTTGTTGGACGCTGGTTCGGGGAAATCGGTGCTCTTCTTCTTGCTGAGGCCTCCTTGCTTCGAGCTTGAACCTCCACCAATCTTCTTCACATCCTGCTCAGCCAGATATTGTCTTCGGTGAACCTCAAAATCGGGGTCGTGAAGATACTCCTCCAGCTGGCGTCCAAGGTTGACAGGTGCGTGCTTGAGCTTGGGCACCTCGACCCGAGTGTGGTGTTCGTGCTGACGAGCTACGCTCAGATATTGAACGACGTAGTCTGTTTGCTTTGTGAATTTCCGATAAATGGCCATAGCACGTTCGGCATCCACCTTTGACATCTCGAAAAAGTGACCTGAAGGGGTCGGAATGTTAGTCAAAGTGGCGGGCTGAGACAGAGGGGGAGGGGCAAACATACCGAGAATGCTGATGAGCCCTTGGTTGAGAACCTGAAATAGTGCCAACAGATCCAAGACAAGCAGTCGGAAAACAGTTATGGTAATTTCATTCTCTGGCTCGTTTTCCATCACCTGGGATTGTCAGTTCTCGGGATTGTCTCTCCTGCTATGGTCCCAACTTACGTCGCATTTTAGTAAAGCCTCCAGTTGGCTTTGAACAATCTCCGTCTCCCGTAACAATCCTTTTTCAACCGAAAGCTTCTCAAGTCTTGACTCAGAAGCGCGCACCCAATCCGTCTTCGTCTTCTCGTATGCGCGAGCTCTCTCAGCTAGATAGTGGGCATAATGTCGGATATTTCGTCCTTGGATTTGTGCTGCCAATCTGTCAATGCCCATACCCAGATATCTTTCGGCCTGCGTGGAACGTACCATCTGTAAAGCTGCTAATCGCTAACACATTGCGATGCGTCGAAAGAAAGGCGAGCGTGACATCAGGAGATCCCTCTCTGATCATCAGGTGAACAGTAATTAGACTTTTGAAGACGACGGTCCATGTTGAATCGCGGAGACGGTATGTGAGAGCGCGAAAGACCTCGCCGACGCCAGCTTCGCCGGAATGGGTAGCTACGAGAATGTGTTCGATGTATTTCGTTTTTGGGGGAGCATTCTATAGCATCCAAGATCAGTACCAAGTCGAATCGTGAGAACCAGCGCCCATCGAGGAAAATTGGTTGGGCTCATGATAGCCGCTGATATTAGGCTCATCAAGAGCGCGCCGCCAAGACCGCACACGTACCTTGATCTTCGTTGCGCCCTTGACGGACTTTTCGAAGGAGCTTGACATGATTCTAACAGGAGCTCGGGAGCTATATCGAGCTTATAATCGCCGAGCGATGGAGGGACAAAAAGTTCAGACGACGGACGTTGCAACGAGCGACGGGGTACGGTGACAGATGATGATGGCCGGGGATCCGGGGGGGGCTCGATGCGAGGATGACGATAAGAGCTGCTGCAGCAGAAGGCGAGCGAGTCGAGCGTGTCAGGTCGCTTCAAAGTGACCAGCGCAAAAAGAGATATTGAAAGGGTCTTGGACGAAGAAAGAGAGTTGACCGAGAGAGACAACGAGAGAGTGTCCGCATCCGCGCCGGGGGACGTGGACGATTCTGGGGCGTGGCAGGACAAGGGGAGGGGTGTGTGCTGTTCGGGTTGGCGTTGACTTGAGGTTGGGCTTTGGTGGTTGTAGGACGAGAAGGTGGAGATTCTGAGAGATGTGGATGATAGAGAGGTACCTTTGCCTCACAGCGATGCTCGGCGGTCTTACAATGTACCCTCCAAACTCGTGTCCTCCGGAAAGGTGGTTGACTCCGACACGGGCGGGCGTTACTCTCCCACTGTAATTCCAGGGGACGCTACTGATGTCGTCACCATGGATTCTTTTGTCTTCTCATTTCAGAGGGACTTGATTGCGCCAAGATAGCTCCACTGCAGAGATGGCGATGTTCCATGAGGTTGAAGAAATCTGGGGACTTTATTCTCTGAGAGAAATGCAAATTGAGGCATCGTTGGGCTTTCAGATAGCACAAACACAGTCTGCCTGTGGCCGTTCGCCTGCGTGTTTGGTTGCTTGTGTGATAATCTCTTCGCTTCTTCACGTCTCACCAAGAACTCATTTCACCTGATACAGCTCTAGACAAGGGACGGCACATTCACTCTATCAAAAACAGCAGGTCGCGAAGCACAAGGTTTGTAATTACAAATAAGATACAAAATTTAATTCAATTCAATTCGTAGTACACATATATACGCGAAACCTCACTTGAGGCTCGCTCCCCAGTTCCCTCAATCGCAAAAAACAAAAACCTACCTGTCAGAACGGTTCAATTTCTGCATGCCGAGTTACCCCAGCCGCACGAACCAAACAAGAAATCCCCTCTTTCATTCATGATAAGTCAGAGCTTTTTTCCATCGCGTCCGATGCTTGTAACAAGGTCTGTGTCGAACGCCCATTTCATGGTACCAACCTCACCTCGCCACGAAACCGCTTAAGCTGCCCCGAGAGGCAGAGGGTTTCGAGGTCCGGGGAGGAGGCACTGCATCATATTAAACACGCGGTTCTCATCATCTGCGAGGTAAATGTTAGCAAAATGCGAGGATTTGTGCGTGGTGAAGGACTTACGATTTCTTGAATGAAGAGGGTCATAAGGAGAAAAGAAAAAGAAGAAGAGAGGAACGCGATCCGCGCAAAATTTAAAGGTGCCCGTAGTGGGGTGCTCGCCGTGGCTGATCTTCGGCTGTTTGCTCACCTGGCCTCACCTTGTCCATCGTCTGTCACCCTAGACTCTGGCATCGCTGGTTGAGACCAGAGCCAGAAAGATTATAATTGGCGTATTTCAGACAACATTGGGGGTGTTCATGGTATTATGTAATTCTTTCATGATGGGTTTGAAAGCCTTGCTCCTAACGGGCATCGGCCCTAAGAGTGCTGGCCTTTTTAAACATTCATTCTGTTCGCTGGGGTCATCCGTAAGTTTCAATCAATTACCAATCTTTCAGACGTACTTAAAATCTCCACGCATTTGCAAATCTACGTACGTAACTAACCGAAGGGTCTCACAATAAATCTCCTCAAAGACACTTTCTGAATCCATGAGGTTGTCGATGCCACTTATATCTACGTAGCTTCCACGTGATCGCCCTAGCACGCCATAGCTACTGATAAGGCACGATAAACCATCGAACTCCTTATCTATGTTCAACATTTGTTTCCTGCATGCAGATCCCTTACTATTAATATGCCGCCTGTACGATCTGGTAGAGCTTCAAAAGCATGTGATCTTTGCCGCAAATACAAAACTCGCTGTTACGCTTCCAGCAGCTCAAATGGAACTTGTTTGCGTTGCAAGACCTTATCTCAACGATGCTCCTTGGACTTTAACGGCCATCGACGCTCGATCTCACCACCCATACGTGAACAAATAGACATTTCACGTCCAGGCTCGGCTGTTCGAGTTCGGAGAAGTTCAGTTGACGATAGGTTTGTATAATTGGGAGTACGAGGAGTTTTCATTGACAGTTCGTGTAGGTTAGAAAGACTTGAGCGGACAGTCAGCGCTTTAGTCGATAAACTTGACTCGAAACTGGATGAAATCGCTGGCTCGTCAAATCAGAATAGATCTTCTGTGGTGGAAGTGCCAGTGCAGGCTGCAGAACTCGACCCTGCTCCGGTATTTTTAATACGAGATGCTGCAACCGATGCAGGAGTTCACTCGCCCGAGCAAGCAATTGCACAAACAGGGCCCCAATCAGACGTTATCTCAACAGGACTTGTCTCGCTACAAACAGCCCACTCACTATTAGGACTGTAAGCTACCACTATCTTCAGTTAAATAATGAATAGCTGACTTGTTTCAGATTCCATGTCCACTATGGCAGATGGGTCAGATTTCCAGAAGACATCCCAACAGACAGACTCCTCTTACAAGTCCGAAAATCTCCATTACTTCTATGCAGCATCTTCCTGATATCCGTCCGGCACACAAGCCAGAATCTGGCAGATCGGCTCGCTCCCAGGCTTTTTGAGGAATCGAAGCGCCTCATCACAACATCGTTACTAGAAGTCCCGCAGACTGAAGAGTTCTTCCAAGCCGTACTCATACTAAGCCTTTGGTCGACGACTATAGGCCAAGTTCCCTTGAGTATAGACAGCTGGCTGCTCACAGGCTATGCGATTCAGCAAGCCCTCGCGAGCCCTCACTTCATGGACGTTATCCGCCCCGGCTCGTCTCAGCATACCAGTGATTCGCTGGACGCTTGGTGTTTGTGGAATCACCTGTGTGTCGCCCATCTTCAGTAGGTCCCCAAGTGCCCTCTCACGGGATGCCTGCTGAATTCAGTACAGGTACTGCGTTGGAACTCGCAGACATTCACTTCTGACTCAAGTACAAGTTGACCAATGTGTTGATTTTGTCAAGTCGAATGAAGTAAACAACTACGAGGCGAGGATGGGAGCAGAAGTTCAGCTCTACTGGATTATCTACAACAAATGTGGAATTGCTCAGGTTGACCTTGCGGGAACTAAACTCGCTCTACAGGCATGGCAACAGGATTGGATGGTCCTCTTCCGTAAGTATATTCTCGAAGTACTTGAATATTAATGCTGACATGATCCAGACGAGCCCAGATCCCAGTTTCTACAAATGGGCTTCCACTTCGCCCACCTACTGGCTCATTGCCAGTCTCTCAAATCACCCAAATCAGTTATGCACAGTTCCGTTCTCAAAGAAATGATCAAGCATTCAAAAATAATCATAAATCTTGCCATCGACACAACCGACGATCGGACTCGCCATTTAACAGATCACATATATCACATCCTCAGCTTCTCTGCACTGACTCTGTGTCGAATCGTTCACACATACGAGTCCAAACTGCGAGCAACTAATTATGACACTATCGAGCTGGATAATATAGTATTCAAGCTTATAAACTGGTTCAAGACCATTGGGTTGCCTTGTCATGCTGCCCATATTCTAGGCGATATTGTCCATGCACAGTTCCAAAAGCTTCGACCAGATTTCCAACCTTCAACGCCTCTTGTTTCCGGAGCATTATCTGAGAATCCTGGTGCTTATTATAATTCCGAAGAGTTATTGTTACCACCAGATCTCTCTTTCATGTATCCGAATTTTATAGGTTCAGAGATGTTTGATGCGGATGGCGGATTGGAGTCTTGGCCAGAATGGGCCCAGGTTCATTCAGATACAGACGCGTCTGTCTAGTGATATTCGGAAAATAATATGAGCTATTAAAAGTCACTTGCAATTACTTCACCAGGAGGAATCGTAAATTGTCAATGCACTAAAATGGTCGTGTAACAGGCAGCAGCCAACAAGTGACACACGGATATTTTCCGCTCCGTTCCGTGATCGATTTCTGCTCACTGAATCCATCATGATTGTCACTCTCCCCTTCCAACGCATTGCAACAACACCACAAAAATGGACCGACTAGCAACAGAGATCGTATCCAATATAATTAAACACCTTGTACCAGATGAGTACTTCTCGCCAGCTAAATTCTTCGGCGAAACTAGACCTCCCATCCACAGTCTCGCACCTTTAGCAGCACTATCTCGCCGATGGCAACCTCTGATTGAAGAAGCCTCATTCCGTGAGCTCAAATTGAACTCAGAATCTGTCTTGTATGCCATCGACAACAACATTCTCACACCCAGGCGTCTTTCATATCTCCGCCGGCTTGATTACTCGTTTTCACCTCCAGATGAAGAACATCCTCCAACGACAAGGGCTGAGATTGACACGGGTTTTATGCCTCTTTTCCGGTTGCTCGCCCAACTACCTTTGCAAGACGAGCCACTAGTAGACTTTAACGTTACCATACCCGGGGCTCCAAGTGGCCCCAGTTATCTCAGTAAACTGGAAGATCACGTCGAGGACAACTTTGATGAGTTGAAAGCAAGTCTCCCGGAAGTGCCCATGATACGAAGTTTCTACCTCTGCCGCGGGTTTGATCGCTTCTTCTACTCCCCGCGCTCTTTTTGCTTAATAGTGGGTACGATGTCGCGTCTGGGATCGCTTACTCTGCGCCTGATGTCTCAGAGAGGACCAGAGAATGTGTTGAAGGAGAGAAATGGTAAGTTCAACTCAAATATACTTCAGACGATGGTAATTTCTCACAACAAGACTCGTTAGAACTCGCACGATCGCTGAATGGCTTGCCTTCGTCGATCCATCAGTTCGACCTCGACTACTATGTTAATCCACGCTTGCTGTTGGATGCCATGTCCTTGGCGCCGACAGAAGAAGACATTTTGAGCCGAGAACTATGTAAATTCTCGCAAAGAGAGGGCCTGAAAGATTTCTCTTTTACAGGGAGCATTGAGCCTACTATTCTCTGGCCATCAGAGTCAGAAACAGCTGAAAAGCCTCACTGGCCAAGTCTTAAAGCTTTCGAACTCACACCATCAGACATATCACCCTCAGGGAAGCGGCTTGTAGTCCGTAACGTATGGCGATCACCAGATAGCTGGCATCCTATGTATCCCGTTGACGACGTGGCGAATGAATATTTTGCGGCGGCTGCGCGATGTGTATCACGAATGCCCAAGGCGGAATATCTCTCTGTAGAGCTGAAAGACTCGTGGTCCACGACTCTCGTTTTTTGCACCGGATACCCCAATGACCCCGACGAGCCGATTTTGAGACTCTCAGGAGGAGGGGGAGCTAAGATCTCTGAGGAGAGTGAGAATGAATGGCGGAAGACGGCGGAAATTCATAACCTGAGGTTTTCCATGGAAGTTGACGAGGAGGAGAACCAGGGAATTGATAATGAAAGCTAGGCGTGGCTGGAGACTGAAAGCAAACAGTCGCAAGGTTACCTAAATCTGTTGAGTATTGCTGTATTTAAAACCTTCTACCTAGACCGATCATACTATATATAGCATCGCCAACGAAGCTTTAAATCCCACTCCTAGTCTCGTCTGAAGCAACTTGAAACTTTTCCTCGACACCAGCATCACCATTGTCAAAGAGTCGGTACAGCAACTTCCAGACCAGAATAACAACAGCGGCAGCAATAGCACAGCCAGCGGCAATACTCAGTCCGCGAGTATACCGAGGTGCATCTAGTTACAGTTAGCCTAGACCTTGTGCGAAATGGGGTTTGTGTGTACCTTGAGTTCTGAAGAGTTGGTTACCGGGAAAATTGGCAAGCTGGATACTCATCACATAAGCAGCCAGTGCAACAGGTCTCTTGTAATCCTGCATCTTGGTTGTGAGCCATGCAGCACTGATGGCTTGGACACAGCCCATTCCCATCTGTGTCCAGACCACTCCGCCGTATAGAGTCCACTTCGATACACCATTTGGTGCAAGGGCTAGCCAAAGTAGACCGGCAGCTCCCCAGAGATAGCCAAGGGCAATATGGAACCCACGCTCGCGGAAGTGATCACTGCTGAAAGCCAACGTGACTGACCAAATCAAGGCACAGACACTGCCGACGGAGTTGAGACCATTGGCTTGAAGGGAAGTGAAGCCCAATGACTTGATGATGGAGGGTGCGTATGTGTTCATCGGAGAGATCATGACCATGGAGAGAAGGCCAGCGACGAGATGACCGTATAATCTCCAGTCAGTAAAAGTATCGACAATATGTGACAGTAGAACTGGTTGGCCGTATCGAAGGGCTTTGGTAGGGTCGTTACGGATGACGCGGGTGACGATGATGGAAGCCTCACGCTCGGTGAAGATGTTGAAGGATCTGCCAAAGAAGGACTTAGGCTTCGCGGCGTTGTGGGGGAAGTAGAGGTATGCGAGGACTCCGAGGAAGCATGTCAAAACACCCTCTACGTTTCGTTAGTGCTAACCTTGCATACAGAGTTTGGGACTTACCAATGAGGAATAGCCATTGCCATCCATGAAGACCACCTCTTCCACGAAGTGAAAGAAGACCGATAGACAAAGGCCCACCAAGAGCACCAGCAAAGCTGTTGGAAGCCCAGAAGATAGCATATCGTAAAGCAAGCTCTTGGTTTGTATAGTATCGCGAGATGTAAAGAGCAAAACCAGGGATATAACCACCCTCCAGAGCACCAATGAAGAATCGAGCAGCACATAAGCCGTGTGCATTCTTCAAGAAGATTTGGGACCAAGTAGCGATACCCCAGAGGAACATGGTGATGGGAAGGAATCGCTCAGGGCCCATGTACTTGCTGATCATGTTGAAGGGCAGCTCTGTAACGATGAAACCGACTGTGAAGAGAGTTTGGGCTAAGTTGATGTCTGAGTTGTCGATGTTGATGTCCGTTCGAAGTGTATCGGTTAAGGCATTGCCGATGTTGGTACGGTCAAATTGGAGGAAGCAGAAACAAAGAACGATAAAGGGCAAGATGAAGAAGTCAACTTTGAGCAAAGCTCTCCTGGTTTCCCCAGACTCGATGGTAAGGGTAGGATCATAGCCCGGAACATGAATGGCTTCATCCTGAATAACATCGCCATCATGTTCCGAAGCCTTAGACTGCACCGGGTGACTCTTTTCAGAAAAGGAACTCATTGTAACGAGAAGTTAACTGGCAAATCCAAACTCTTGTGGTTTCTAACATGATGGTATCGAACAATGCTACAGTCTATATACTACCACCCTGCCAAAGCAATAATGATGTCCTGATAAGCGATATGCCCAGATCTGTATGGTGTTGAAGATACCATGGCGACGATAATGGCGTGCTGAATTGGGTTAACCTATTGGAGGACTTGATAAGATGAGATGGCGCCGGCGGTGATAAGGAGGGACCGTCGGATCGATATCAGCCGGCGGCATCCCGACGGCATCCCCCAGGCTTACCGCCGGGATGCCGTGGGCTTGATGTTTTCGCGATATCACGCCAATATTTATTTGAAGATATCATTTTATGAGAAGAAGATTGTCTACAAGTATGAGGTAAAGTCCAGAGTGTCGATATTGTCTTCAGATCGAATAAGCCATCAACCAAGACAATCTCTCAACAGGTCTTGAAACCATCACCAAGCAAGACACCAGCTCCAACAATCATCATCGGCATAAAGTCAGCAGTTTAAGCTTCTGCCATGGAACAAAACACACTAAAAAGACGTGGCGTCGGTCTCACAGGTGTCGACAAGGATAAGTCCTTTGGCGGCTACACCCTTTTCTGTCCCCTGACCAGCGACACAGCTCACCTTGTCGACATTGACGGCAAAGAAGTCCACTCATGGAAACTCCCCGGCAGAATAGGTCGTCATGCTAGAATTCTACCCAATGGAAATCTTGCTGTTAACACCCTTCGAAGAACTGAGCTCACCACCAAAGATGGAGGCCCTTTCCCCTTTCCCTTCTTCAACAAATATGGTGGAGGTGTCATGAGTGAGCTTGATCCTGATGGCAAAGTGGTTCGTCAGTTCACGGATGATTTGGGTCATCATGATCAGTATCACTACGGTGATGGCCGCTTTCTGTATACGGGTCTTGAGGCCCTGTCTCCGGAGGACTCAGCGAAAGTTATTGGCGGTGTCCCAGGCAGCGAGATCGATGGCATCACTTACGCCGACACCATCAATGAAGTTGACGAGAAGGGCAATCTCGTCTGGCAATGGAAAGTCTCAGAGCGCCTCCCACGAGATGAATACCCTCTCCAAGCTCACTACACAAGAGAGCATTACCCACTCATCAACTCCGTCATTCCCATGCGCGACGGTAAACATATCCTGGCGTCTCTCAGATCAGTATCAGCCGTTATAATCATCGAGAGATCTACCGGCAACATCGTCTGGAAGCTCGGCCCAGAGGTTCTTGCTCAACAGCACAACGCTACTGAACTAGACAACGGCAACATTCTTATCTTCGACAATGGAGCTTTCCGCAACGGCGAATCTATCACTTATACCCGTTCCATCGAGGTTGATAGACAAACGAAGAAAATCGTCTGGGAGTACAGGGACCGCTCGCAGATGCATAACTTCTTTACACCATTTATGGGCAGTGCGCAGAGACTGGCGAACGGAAACACATTGCTTTGTGAGAGTGCTTTTGGAAGATTGTTTGAGGTTACTAAGGACGGATATGTTTGCTGGGAGTTTATCAACCCGCACTTTGCGCCCTACCCTGATCAGGCGACTGCGAAGATATTCCCCGGTGAATCGAATGCGCTTTTTAGAGCGTATCGGTATTCTTTGGAGGAGATTCCCTGGCTTAAGAAGAAGTTGGGAGGAACTGATGGAGAAGGGCAGGCTTCGGGAATATTGGGAAGCATGTGTAAGCAGCAGTAGCACAACACCTAAAGTAGCATAAGAATTATAAGAAAGTTGGTATGCTATTATAGATCAGTCTCCCGTTTTACATCAGCATGCTAGGACTTGCAAGAATGACCAAAGACCTGATGCTTTCCTCCTCACTAGGCATATTCTATTTTAGCGGAAGCTGGAACCTGCTTCCTTAAGCAAACTATTCAGCGCAATAGTGAAAGAGATCACTGATATTTCACTGAATGGCCACAAAATACAAGATTGGCCATCGGCTGTAGTGTCCTGCATCGGATCGGATCTGGGGCAGTGACTTGTGGGGTTCCGATGGCTATGGGGTAGGCCCGTCTCACCCCCACACTTCACCTCGGCTGAGCCGAGAGAGTTGACACCCTGTGAGAGACAATAACTACAAATTGCGAACTGAATTACTCACTGTTTAATTCGTAAGTTGCGTGCCTCGATATATGAGTGTTTGGTAGAGATTAAAAACCACATAACAGTCTGAAGAAAAAGCCAAAAGCGTTGTAGACCTCCCAAGCAACAGGTAGAATTTCATACTTACTGCTATGTTTTGTGTCATTAGCGAGAAAGTTGCAAGATGCTTGCCATGGAAACAAGGAAAGCACAAATTAATGTACCGTAGTTTAAAGATGCCTCGATGGTCATGCTCATCATAGTGCAATGCCCAATGTACTTACAGACCGTAGCTGAACTCAGCCCACCCCCAGGTTCTCCAGACGTGGCCGCGTCTAGTCAAGTCTAAACCAGATATCAATCTGCCGTAATAGGTTCGCTTCCTTTAGTGTACCTGGGGAGATTCTAACCCCGCAATCTAGGTCGCCCGCAAATCCCGTTGAATCACTTAAATGTTATTCGTCCCCAGAAATCTTGAGTGTTCTCATACTCTAGTCTCAACTTACTACACTTACGTCAACGATGCCTTCTCGAAAACTCAAAGACAGTGAACGCCGTCGATGCGCCAATGCCTGCTACACTTGCAAGCGTCGCAAAGAGCGCTGTGACGGTCGTCAACCGTGTGGCCGCTGCATCATCCGCGGAGTGGATGCCGAATGCAGTTTTACCCCTTCTCCGACGAGAAAGCGCAGAGCTCGGGTCGTCCGCCCTCCCACATCTGATATAGACAACTCACAGGGCTCCATATCACCAAGCATCTCTTCCTCTATTGAAGTCTTCAACCAAACACTGTCTCAAATCAGCAGCCAGACTGGGCATGATCTACACAAAGACCATACAGATCGCCCCCAACTCTCTACGCTCATACAAGATGGCCATGGGAAGTTCGTCTTTATTGGTGACGCGGCGAACTTGTCCTTTCTCCAAATAATCCGACGACTAGTTCGTGATTCAGTCGGTCCTTGTGCATTCACCGAAGATGCTCTACAACATCTCATGGTCGAGGCCAAACCGTCGGACAGTACTACATGGCTCGTCAGCATCATGGATGATGCACCAGTAATGCCCGACAAGGAAGAGGCTCGATATCTAGTCTCCTGGTTCTTCCGCTCCACCAGCTGTGTACTCAACCTCTTTGACGAAGGAGAAATCATGGAGTTAATGGAGTCTTGGTATCAGAAATGCCCTGATGAACCAGAGGATAAAGCTTCTGTAGCTGTCTTCTTTCTCATATTTGCAATTGGCGCCCAGACATGTCCTGAGAATAGGGACCAGGAAGCAGAGCAGTATTTCAACTACGGACGCTTCATCACCGCCTCCATTATCATGGACGACATTAGCATATCTGCAGTCCAGTCCAACATTCTTATTACTATGTACCTCTTGGGTGCATCACGACGAAACGCTGCATTCATGTACCTCGGCAGTGCTGTCCGCGCGGCATATGCCCTCGGCATTCAGCGACACGATGTTAACAAGCATTTCAAGCAACCCGAATATCTCCTGCGAGAGAGGTTGTGGAAGGTTCTCCGCGTCCTAGATCTTTTTATGAGTGCATCACTTGGCCGTCCGCCATCCACACACGAAACTCGAAACACAGGCATCGACGAGAATTACTCAGCGTCCAACGATCTCTGCGCTATCTTTGAAGATATCCTTACCAATATCTACTCCCCACAAAAAGTCTCAAACAGCCACCTGGAGCGAATCAGTGAACACCATCGACAATGGGCCAACAAGTTCCCTCTAGGTCTGGCTACTGATAGCATAAAACCATCGGAATTCATCGATGAAGCCGACGGGAAGGAAACGCCAAACATCGGTCTATGCCATCTTAAAGAAGCTTACTATTGGACAATCATGCTTCTTGCTCGACCCTCCCTGACGAAAAGCGCTTCCAAACATATGTACAAAGCCAGCCAGGACATGAGCCAGTGGGAACCCCCTACAGCTGCAACTGAGCCAGACCAAGTCCTTGCTTTTTCCTGTGTCGACTCTGCAGTCAGGACAGTTGACCTCCTGAAAGTGATGGGAGATAACCGAGAGATTCCAAAGCGTCTCCCATTTGTCGTGAACTCATTATTTGTTGCAGCGTTGGTGCTTGGGACCGCCTACTTCAATGACTTGGATCATATCTTCCCTCTCGAGAAAAGTATGATTGGTGTACGATCCTTAATGGCTAGATTCAGTACCCATGATCCTGTCGCTAAGGGTGCACTGCAAACTATCGATAACCTCCAAACTGTTTGCAACATATACGTTGATGAGAGGGCACGTCGGAAGATGGAGAGACAGAGCCTCCTTGTGAGAAACCTGTTTGGTACTGTGCATGATGGGTCTAGGCCACATACTCCGAATCCTCATGACAAAGTAAAGACAACGTCTTTTAGTGATTTCAGCCAGACTGAGGCAAATCTTGATTCGTGGTCATTTGGAGAATCGATTGGTGACATTGATGGGGGGTTGATGGGCATGTTACCTCATGAAGCTTTGGAGGCATTCTCGCTCCCTACGCCCACGACAATCACCTTTGACTCATTTGATGGCAGTTTTCCTCTCTTCCCGACTGTAGATGCGTGTAGCTTTGAGGTTGAAGGAAACATGGGGACGAATAATCTGGCGTTTGGGCTGTGATATATGTAATCAGAAGGTCTTCTATCTGAGTCGATGAATTCAATGTGCTCGATGTATATTTGATACACCAAAAGGACATCAGGCAACTGTGAGATATGTGTGAGTACATATATGCATGCTAAACTAATCACTGGTTTTAATAGCCCAGTTGATGCCGCTTATTACCCCGTTCAAGAACACTTCAGTCTCAGGTAGAGATGGAACTATCCAGAAACAGTGAGGCATATTGCCGTAGTGGTTAGTTTT